GACTCAGCACCCACAGGCTCCGCACCCCCAGGCTCAGCACCCCCAGACTCCGCAACCCCAGGCTCCGCACCCCCAGGCTCCGCACCCCCAGGCTCCGCACGCTCAGGCTCAGCACCCCTAGCAGGACGAGAGTCGACAGCTACCTCGACAGGCTCAACCGGGTCTACCTGGGACACACCTGAGGGAGCGGCACCCTGAGGGGGGGGGGGGTCTACCACAGCAGCACCTGGCGCGAGGAAGAGAGGCGGGGGGGGGGAGCGGGGCAGTGCGGTAGGGGAAGAGGCGGTAGTAGGGCACCGACTCGTCAAAAGTGACGTCCTGAGAGGGCAGGACACGGCGCGAGGTGGCGTGGTAAAACTGCCAACCAGACGCGTCCGGGACAAAGCCAAGGAAGACACAAGGAACAGCGCGGGAGGAGAGCTTGTCCACGGACGTATCGCGGACAAAAGCTCGAGATCCCCAGACCCGGAAACGCGACGCATCGCCAACCTCCCCCGTCCACAGCAGTGTGGGCGAGGTCTCCGGCAAGGAGACACGGGGCCAGAGGTTGAGCTGATGCGCAGCGTACCGGACCGCAAACGGCCACAGAAAGTGGGGGGCAGCCGCATGGATCAGGGAGGTACGAGCGACCTCCATGACCAAGCCAATGCGGCGCTCAGCAACCCCATTCTGCTGTGGAGAGGCCGGAAGCGTGAACGACTGGCGGATGCCGTGCTCCGCACAGTAGGCTGCCAAGAGGTCGGAGGAGAACTCACCACCTCTGTCAGAGTGCAGATGCAAGACAGGAAAGTCTGAGTGGAACCGCTCGCTGAGCTGTAGACGAGAAGCGCGGATCCAAGGGATCAAAACATCAGGGACCTCACCCTTGGTGCGCAAGGGGAAGACCGTGGTGTAGCGCGAGTAGTCGTCAACAACGATCAGGAAGTACCTCTCCTGACCCTGTCCACGGACGCGGGCTGGGCCCCACACATCCATGTGGAGCGTCTGCAAGGGAGCAGTCGTCGGGGGAAACGAGGAGGAGTGAGGAGCGGCGCGCTGCCGCCCCTCGACACAAGGAAGACAGGGAGGAGCAGGCGAGGGTGGGAGGGGAGGGAGTACCCGGGGAAGACCAGAGACAAGGTACCGTTTGTGCATGGCACGAAGGCGCTGCACTGACGGGTGCCCAAGGCGGTGGTGCCAGAGGACGGTCTCGTGTGCTAGAGAGCGACACGAGCAGGGGGCAGACAGCTGACCTGAAGCAGACGCAGACGCAGCTACCTGAGGGGACTCAGTGGTCAGTGTGTACAGGTCCGACCCCGGCTGCCGAGTGAAGGTAGCCAGGTGACGGCCCGTCCGAGCACACGTGCAGTGTGTCACGCGCTCGTAGGCAGGGGTGAACTGGTGGACACCCCCGTCCTGGAGCGCAGAACCCGCCACCAAGTTCGTAGAGAACGAGGGGAGGTGGAGACCTGACAGTGTGCCCGACGGAACCGCAGGACAAGGAAGGACAGTGGAGGGAGGTCGCAATGACCGGACCCCCAGAGGGGTCAGCAAGGGAGACAGCAACTGGCCGAGCAAGCTGCTCAAGGGCAGTGCGGTCACGAATGAAACAGCGAGAAGCACCTGAGTCCAGTGTGAAGGTGTGCAGTGCCTCAGTAGACTCAGTACCAGGGGGGGCAGACTCACGAGTACCTAGAGCAGCAGCCTCACCAGCACCTGGGGCAACAGACACTCTAGCACCTAGAGCGGCAGCCTCACCGGTACCTAGAGCAGTAGACTGGATACCGGGGTCAGGCGGCACACACAGGTGACAGGCACTCTCAGCACTAGTAGACAATGCATACATGGCAGTGAGGATAGCATCATAGTCAAGAGCAAAGATATCTACCCTCTGCCTAAGCAGCTCCACCCAGTCGGGGAGCTCAGCGTCGTCGCCAAGCTCTGTATGCCAAACGTCGCCCAGACGGGCGAAGCAGTGGGACTCTGTGTGACCACGTGTCCCGCAAGGCTGACCAGTCCGGACACCTGTGCGAATGACGTACGGGCAGCGAGCAGTACTCAGTGACCCTCTACTCTGAGCGTACCACTCACGAAGCTGCTGGGGCGAAAGAGCCTCGCGTAGACGACGCGGCTGCTGCACCGGGCCACTACAAGAAACTCCCGAACTACCCACTCCAGGACGACTCCCACTACTGCCACCCCGACAACCCCAACTGGCGTACCACTCACGAAGCTGCTGGGGCGTGAGGGACACACGCGGACGGCCCTGGAGCTGCATCTGGCCACGCCAGGAGCAGCAGTAGAAGCAGTAGCAGCAGCAGTAACAGCAGTAGTAGTACGGGCAGGGCAGTGCTCACCAGTGGTGGGAAGGGCAGGCGTACGAGCGGGGCGACTGCGGGGCCGCCACAGCGGCCGCTCCAGGGGCGGCTGCTCCAGGGGCGGCTGTTCCAGGGGCCAGGAGCGGCTCCTGCAGTGGCAGCTGCTCCAGGGGCGGCTGCTCCAGTGGCCAGGGGCGGCTGCTGCAGGGGCGGCTGCTCCAGGGGCGAGGGGCGGCTCCTGCAGTGGCGGCTGCTCCAGTGGCCGGCTGCTCCTGCTGCAGGGGCGGCTGCTGTAGGGGCGGCTGCTCCAGGAGCCAGGGGCGGCTGCTGCAGGGGCGGCTGCTCCAGAGGCCAAGCGCGGGTTAGGTCAGGGCGACTCAGCGGGCAGGGGCGACGCGCGGGCAGTGGCGACGCGGCGGGCAGGGCGACGCGGCGGGCAGGGCGACGCGGCGGGCATGGGCGACGCCGTGGGCAGGGCGACGCGGCGGGCAGGTGGCGACGCCGCGGGCAGGGCGACGCAGAGAGCAGGGGCGACGCCGCGGGCAGGTGACGACGCCGCGGGCAGGGCGACGCGGCGGGCAGGTGGCGACGCCGCGGGCAGGGCGACGCGGCGAGCAGGTGACGACGCCGCGGGCAGGGCGACGCGGCGGGCAGGTGGCGACGCTGCGGGCAGGTGGCGACGCCGCAGACAGGTGGCGACGCCGCGGGCAGGCGACGACGCCGCGGGCAGGGGCTACGCCGCGGGCAGGTGACGACGCCGCGGGCAGGGCGACGCGGCGGGCGGCGAGAGCCTGCAGGGGCGGCGCGCGGGTCGGGCAGAGGCTGCGCGCGGGCCTGACGGGTTTGCAGGGGCGGCTCTCGGGCCTGACGGGCCTGCAGAGGCGGCTCGGGGGGGGCCTGACGGGTCTGCAGAGGCGGCTCGGGGGCCTGACGGACCTGCAGGGGCGGCTCGAGGGCCGTACTAGCTTGCAGGAGGCAGCGCGAGGGCTACAAGACGGCACTCGGGCAGACCGAAGGGCGGGGCGCGCGAGGGCGCACGAGCAGAGAAAGGCGCACGAGGGCGCACGAGGGCGCACGAGGGCGCACGAAGGCGCACGAGGGCGCACGTAAGGTAGGGCGCACGAGGGCGCTTCTAGCGGAATAGTGGGCCCGTAGTAGAAAGCGGTCCTAGGTAGCAACCTAGGCTCGTGATACCATGTTTGAATCTAGAATAGAACAAGAATGATGAAACTAGGAATGATGGGGATACAAGTAGGCAACCCTAGCAAAGTTGTACCCCCTAAGGCTAAACCCACTATAGCCTACACAATATAAACATATAATGTTTGACATCCAACGCCAAACCACAACGGATTCACCATGTCGCGCAACACACAGGCCGGAACGTGGCATCGTCGCACTGTCTAAACACTGCTGACGGGAACGCATCTACGCTTGTGCGTTGGGCCTGTGCTTCATACCACTCTCTCTAAGCACCTTGTTGAATGTCCGTGCAAGAATGGATGACAATCCAACGCCAAACCACAACGGATTCACCATGTCGCGCAACACACAGGCCGGAACGCGGCATCGTCGCACTGTCTAAACACTGCTGACGGGAACGCATCTACGCTTGTGCGTTGGGCCTGTGCTTCATACCACTCTCTCTAAGCACCTTGTTGAATGTCCGTGCAAGAATGGATGACAATCCAACGCCAAACCACAACGGATTCACCATGTCGCGCAACACACAGGCCGGAACGCGGCATCGTCGCACTGTCTAAACACTGCTGTCGAGAACGCATCTACGCTTGTGCGGTGGGCCTGTGCTTCAAACCACTCTCTCTAAGCACCTTGTTGAATGTCCGTGCAAGAATGGATGACAATCCAACACCATACAACTACTTTTTCTCGTCTGTTACTATTCGTCAACACATTCGTTTGTTACACTTTGTGTCTGTGACATGAGACAAACCCACTACCGGCGGCAACCCCATACTAAACCAAGAGCATCAAAGTTTTGGATGTTTTTTATTGTTGTATTTTTTGAAATTTATTCCGCGTACATGTTCAACACTGTGCGTTCACGAGATCACTGTACTTTGCAGGGATAAGGTTACATTCGCACTTGAGGTTCTAAAACTGTCATACTATGCGTAGAGATTGATGCGTTGGCAACCGTGGTTGGCCAATGCATCTCAAACGAGTCCCCACACAACACAAGCACCAGCCAAGAGGTACTTCCGCCATTGAGCGGATGAGATCGAGCGGTAGGCGGGTTTATGCACGGGTGGCTACACGTACACCGTCCGATATAGCCTGATAGGGTTACAGTAATCTCTATAGTCTCGCAACCCACCCCAACCACCCTCGTGCCCCACCCACCTGCTCCCGTCACCCTCTATGCCAACACTTAGACGCTGCTCGCTGTTTGACAAGCGCGTTTCCAGATCGCCCGTGACTCACCAGTATACTAAGTCACGGGCCGTAGCTCTGTGATGAGTGGCTACTATTTCAGGTTTAGTGATAGCAGCGATTTTCGGAGAAACATAACAGTGATAGGCCGTCGTTAAACACTTCGTGATATTCAGTTGCTGCGGCCCTTCAAAACAGGCTAACCCGTTTCGCGCGATAGACCTTGGCATTCCTACGGCAACCATGACACGTGCCACACGTCAACAAGCAATGGAGGAGGAACAGGCCGGACGCCGAGCGACAAGGACGATGTCTAAACGGACCGATAGGGAGGGTGGCGGCGGCGCTAAGAAAACTAATGCGTCCGTTGCGCGTGGCACTGGGCTGAGAAAAGTGGCGGCAAAGAAGGTCGCGCGGGATCAAGAGAAGTCCGGCAGGAAGGCGGCAGACAACGGGAAGCAACCAATGCCACGCAAGCGTGTTTCTACAGTGAACAAAGATGCGGATGTTGCCTCAACTGGAACCACGCCCGGTCCGACTAACGACGGCACCAGTGGCGGCAACAAACATCCGGGGCGAGGGAGAGCGAGTCTTGCAGTCCCGTCGGCGGAGAGAGAGGGATCGGCGACAGTGGGAAACCACGGAGGCGATCCACGCGCCGAGCATACCGCAACCAAGGAGTCAGAGGCGGAGGCATCTCAACACCATCTGACGCTGCTCCAGCCGACCGTGGTCGAAATTTCTGCTGCCGTGCTGGATAAGGACAAGGTGGGGGAGCACGAGTCGATGGAGGATCCTAACCACGGCATAGCCGACGTCGGTGGCTCTCCTCCTTCTGGTGGACGGGGGAGACGTAGGCAGATGAAGAGCGATGAGGAGGACGATTCTGACACCGCCGTGCCCGGGGACATCACCACGCGGGCGAAGAGGCGGCAGACGACAGGCAGTGCCGACGACGCCGGTGGCGCGGAAGTTGGGAGAACGCGAGGCGCCAGTGAAGCTAGTGGCAAAGCGACGGGTCATGCATTGCGCCAAAAGGGCCGACCCGCAGCAAGAAAAACATCCGGCGGAAGGAGGGGCAAGAAACGGGGTCGTGAAGACCCTGGTGAGGCCGAGGAGGAGGATGCGCAGGAAGAGGAGGATGAAGAGGATGCGGAGGAGGATGACGCGGATGTTGGGGAGGATGAAAAAGATGAGAATGATGGCGGGGAGGACGAAGAGGAGGAGGAGGAGGAGGAGGAGGAGGAGGAGGAGGAGGAGGAGGAGGAGGAGGAGGAGGAGGAGGAGGAGGAGGAGGAGGAGGACGATGAGGAGGAGGATGAGGAGGAGGAGGAGGAGGAGGAGGATGAGGAGGAGGAGGAGGAGGAGGAGGATGAGGAGGAGGAGGAGGAGGAGGAGGAGGAGGAGGAGGAGGAGGAGGAGGAGGAGGAGGAAGAGCAGGGGGACGACGAGGAGGAGGATGAACAGGAGGAGGAGGAGGAGGAGGAGGAGGAGGAGGAGGAGGAGGAGGAGGAGGAGGAGGAGGCAGAGGAGGAGGAGGAGGAGGAGGAGGAGGAGGAAGAGGGGGAGGAGGAGGAGGACGTGGCGGCAGTGAAGGGACGGGGCGGGCGTGGCAGACGGCAGAGTGGTACAGGGAAGGTGGGGGGCCGGACTCGCCATTCCCGAAAACGCGGGGCAGTTGACGCCGCGCGCGGCGCAGCAGCTGGCAGACCGAAGGCGCGTAAGGTGAAGGTCGAAAGTGAAGGGGGTGGTAAAAAGCAAGGGCGCCAGGGAGCAAAAGGGGATGGAGGAGGTAAGGGTGGCGGCGCCAAAGGGGTTCCATTGGGTACTGGCAAGAAAGAACCTGCCGGTAAACGTCGCAGCGGCCGTCAAAGCACCCCGCGGAAAGGTGGCAACGAGAAGGCGCTGGCCCCAAAAAAACCGAAGGGACAGCAGAAAGGTGAGCACCCTGGCCAATAGACCGGGCGTGGTTGTTGCACTCTTTGCGCAACCGTGCCAAATAACACCATTCTACACGTTGTTTCTCCCCTGCAGGGAAGGAGAAGGACGACGAATCTGCAAAGAAAGGTAAAGTCTCCTGTCTCAAAACAGTACACGGCTAAGCCCGATTTAGATTCAAACCATTGATTTCATGCATGACTGTCTGGCCCTGTATTGATACCGATCGACTTTAATTTCTTGATCCTACTCCCTCTAAATCTCAGCCCCTCGCGTTACAGGCATTGGGCCACCGGTAAGCGTGCAACGGATGCAGCTAATGAAGGGGGCCGGAAGAGCGAGTGTGACGCCGCTATCCACAGGAGCCCCAAGGTTCTTCACGCCGTACTCCGGCCCAAGCAAAGTCGCTGCGACGGCTCCCGGCGCGCCAAGAGGAGAGGAATCCGAATCACCTCCACCAGGCCCCGTCACGCACTCCCCACTCGCCTCACCCTCATACCCATTTCGGCCGCTACACGCTTCTCCTGTCCGGGGCAGGGCGGTCTCCCCCCTCGCTGGTCCTTCGCGCGGGCATCAGCCAAGCACTTCTGCCAATCCCTTCCCTGAGCTCCCCTTTTCCCGCCAGCGTGATAGTGTGAGGGCACACGGGACTGCTGAAGAAGATGCTGAAACCCTTGGCCAGAGGGGGGATTCTTCACACCCTTTTCCACCGCTCATGGGTGCCCTAGGTGAAAGTGCGGAGCACGAGCAGTTTGTTACACGGGAGGAGTTCCAGGCGCTGCGGTCTGAGATGTACGCCATGTTTGCACAGCTCAGCCTGCGTCGTGGAGTACCTGCCAGTTATGCCGGGGGTTTCGCAGCCGCGCCTATGGCTGGTACCCCGCCGCCGATGAGTGCCGTGGACAAGGCACGAGTGCTAGTGTTGCAGGAGACAAACCCATTCCCGGTATGTGGCGGGCCAAATGGGGCGGGTTGGGGCTGACGTGGGGGCTTGGAAGGGTACACGGGAGCGGCGCGTGACGAGGTGACTCGTGTCAGGTGGGTGGGGTGACGTGGCATGGGGTGGGTGGGTGGGTGTGATGTGGCACGTGGGGCTGGTTGTTCCCTGACGTGGCGGATGGAGGAGGGTGTGACGTGGCGGGATGTGAGGCTTGGGGCTGACGTGGCGGCTTGGACGGGTACACGGGAGCGGCGCGTGACGAGGTGACGCGTGTTAGGTGGGTGGGGTGACGTGGCATGGGGTGGGTGGGTGGGTGTGATGTGGCACGTGGGGCTGGTTGTTCCCTGACGTGGCGGATGGAGGAGGGTGTGACGTGGCGGGATGTGAGGCTTGGGGCTGACGTGGCGGCTTGGACGGGTACACGGGAGCGGCGCGTGACGAGGTGACGCGTGTTAGGTGGGTGGGGTGACGTGGCATGGGGTGGGTGGGTGGGTGTGATGTGGCACGTGGGGCTGGTTGTTCCCTGACGTGGCGGATGGAGGAGGGTGTGATGTGGCGGGATGTGAGGCTTGGGGCGGACGTGGCGGCTTGGACGGGTACACGCGAGCGGCGCGTGACGTGGTGACGCGTGTCAGGTGGGTGGGGGGTGACGTGGCATGGGGTGGGTGGGTGTGACGTGGCACGTGGGGCTGGTTGTTCCCTGACGTGGCGGATGGAGGAGGGTGTGACGTGGCGGGATGTGAGGCTTGGGGCGGACGTGGCGGCTTGGACGGGTACACGCGAGCGGCGCGTGACGTGGTGACGCGTGTCAGGTGGGTGGGGGGTGACGTGGCATGGGGTGGGTGGGTGTGACGTGGCACGTGGGGCTGGTTGTTCCCTGACGTGGCGGATGGAGGAGGGTGTGACGTGGCGGGATGTGAGGCTTGGGGCTGACGTGGCGGCTTGGACGGGTACACGCGAGCGGCGCGTGACGAGGTGACGCGTGTCAGGTGGGTGGGGGGTGACGTGGCATGGGGTGGGTGGGTGTGACGTGGCACGTGGGGCTGGTTGTTCCCTGACGTGGCGGATGGAGGAGGGTGTGACGTGGCGGGATGTGAGGCTTGGGGCTGACGTGGCGGCTTGGACGGGTACACGCGAGCGGCGCGTGACGAGGTGACGCGTGTCAGGTGGGTGGGGGGTGACGTGGCATGGGGTGGGTGGGTGTGACGTGGCACGTGGGGCTGGTTGTTCCCTGACGTGGCGGATGGAGGAGGGTGTGACGTGGCGGGATGTGAGGCTTGGGGCTGACGTGGCGGCTTGGACGGGTACACGCGAGCGGCGCGTGACGAGGTGACGCGTGTCAGGTGGGTGGAGGGTGACGTGGCATGGGGTGGGTGGGTGTGACGTGGCACGTGGGGCTGGTTGTTCCCTGACGTGGCGGATGGAGGAGGGTGTGACGTGGCGGGATGTGAGGCTTGGGGCTGACGTGGCGGCTTGGACGGGTACACGCGAGCGGCGCGTGACGAGGTGACGCGTGTCAGGTGGGTGGGGGGTGACGTGGCATGGGGTGGGTGGGTGTGACGTGGCACGTGGGGCTGGTTGTTCCCTGACGTGGCGGATGGAGGAGGGTGTGACGTGGCGGGATGTGAGGCTTGGGGCTGACGTGGCGGCTTGGAAGGTTACACGGGAGCGGCGCGTGACGAGGTGACGCGTATCAGGTGGGTAGGGGGTGACGTGGCATGGGGTGGGTGGATGTGACGTGGCAAGTGGGGCTGGTTGCTGGTGGATGTGGCGGATGGAGGAGGGTGTGACGTGGAAAGTTCACACAGTCCATCCTGTGGTCACGCGGCCACAGTCATAACTGATGGTTTCTCTCTCCCCATGTTGTGCTGTAAACCCCACACCCCTGCGCAGAACAAGGCCTACTTAGTGTGCTCTCAGCTCCTGTTTCTGAACCCCCCGGAAAAAATCCAGTACTACCCTGCACCGGAGGAAGTGTTCGAGGCGTTCGCTGTCCACTTGTCTGCCGAAGGGCTCGAGTCAATGAAGCTGCTGTGGTTGCACAACGACAAGTCAACCATGGGTGTCTTCAACCACCAGATGTCGTCAACCAGGTCAACAATCAACAGCACCCTCAGGCCAGCAACGTACGCCGGCATGGGCCTCTCCGATTACGCCCATCTCGTGGATACCCTGCCCACTGAGCTACACCCAAAGAAGTGGTTCAACCACGAGGATCTCCTGGCCGAGTACAGAGATGGTATGTGCAACTCGAACACACCATATCCCCCTGCCCATATGCCAGGTGGCAGCTACAAATAACCGTGCGGTGTTCCTCACCCTGACTCTCACCCAGCCACTTGATTTCTATGCACCCCCTTTCCAACCCGTACGCTCCCTCCCAAAATGCAGAACAGTGGGCCCTCAACTGGCACTTTGACAAGGCCACCGGAACGCCCTTCAGCAACACCTTGTTTGCTTATGCGTTCAAGCTCTCCTTCAAGAGGGGTGGGGTCGTGTTCAACAAGTTCAAGAGCCGCATGGTGGCATGGGGCCTGTTTTTGGTAAGGATGTAGATATGTGTCTGTACACCCATGCCTCATGTCTCGGGAGATATGGGTTGCCTGTACTTCATCTAAATCCCTGGTCGCTTAGGCGTTTGCGGTTACGTAGGGTGTGTCGTCTTCACCGCTTTCAGTTGGCCCATATACTCATAACCCCCCCCCCCATACTCCATCCACCCAACCCTACACCACATTGCAGATCAAGTGGCCCCTTCTGCAGGATAAGCGTCGCAAACGAATTCCGGCCCAGCCGGAACAAAACGGGCCGGACTACTTCGAGTGGTGTGACAAGGTCAAACAGATGATACACTTTGCCGTCGTGGAGCGGCGGATCCCACACGATCCGGCTCAGGGTGCGTTCGTCTTCCCGAACAAGTTCGTCATCGACGATGGCGACCTTGGAGATGTCATTCTTGCCCACCGGGCGATTGCAGGGCCCAGCATTGCGTAGGCTATTTGACCTGGTGCTAAAACTGCTGGTTGTTAGAATGCTGAATAATAGTTGTTGTTTACCAAAATATTGAATGTAATTCTGAAATCCTCAATACCCAAAATAAAACAAAACCAAAATCCAGTTTTTTATATTTTGGTACCGAAATTGCACCAAAACGGATTGCGCCGGAATGTCATCCGGAAAAGCTCGCGTGCCAATTTGAAACTTGACCCGAGCCAAACCTTGTCGCGAGATGTGTGTCGGAGCTCCTATCAAATGATTCCAACCGTCGGTCAAAATTGGGTCCGGACTTTTTTACGCGAAGACAACCCCAATCAAAATTCGTCCAAACTTGGCATAGGGTTTTTGTGATGCTGTTGATTGTTTAACTCAACGTTTATATTGCTGACTTCCCTGACATGCTAGGCAGAGGAAGCGGTAGTATAAAATTAGGACTTCAAACATTCATCAATTCGTTTGATGAATATGAGAAATGCAATTATCGTTTGGTCGGTCATTGCATTTCTCCACATATGTTCAAATTTCAGAATCTTTCGCGATACAAAAGAACGATTTAGAGTAGCAATGGCCAGCAAATTTTCAGAGTTAGCAGTCTTGCGAAATATATCTATATAGATGACTGATTTACAACATAAATATATGCCTTAAATCAATGTGAAGGAAAAACAAGGATAGCATATATGTTACGATTATTTAACTTATCCAGAGTTCTCTTCTTCTTTTTTTCCATTTTTTTACTAGGATTTTGAAAAAAAATTGCGAAAAAAAAAAGTAGTCCCTGTCGATTGCAATAGGTTGCTCCGCAACCCAAAAAATGTTCCCTTCACATTTCCTCCTCCTCCCTTCCCCTCCCCATCCCCTCCTCCCCAACTCATGCAATGCTCGCGTCCTATTGTTGTGCCGTGCACGACCCCAAGTCACATAGACATACGACCCCAATCTCACACGGACACACGACCGACCCCAACTCACCCAGACGTGCACGGGTTGGCGATGTTGTCCAGCGCCGTGCCTTGGCAGACAGCTTTACTGAAGAACTTGACCTGCGCGCACTGACCGCCCGCCGACGCGGTGCTCGAGTCCCCGCCGCCCTTCCACCACACCGTCGCGCTCTTCTGCCGCGCCTTCTTGGGCACGCTCACGCACACCTGCTTGCTGAAGTCCAGCCGCGTCTTGCCCACCACCACCGCCGTCGCAACCTGCAAGCTGGGGGTGCTGGGGGTGGTCGCGAGAGCCCTCCTCACGTTGACCTTCTCGCCCGCAGCTCCACCGCCGCTGCCGCCGCTGGTGGCGATGATACTGCTGGTGGTCACGAGAGCCCTCCTTGCGTCGTTCTTGCTCGCTGGTTTGGCCGCTGCGTTGAGCGTGTCATCTCCATACGCTGCGGCGTTGACCGTGTCATGCCGTGTGGTCTTTTCAACAGTGGTGTTGCTATACGCTGCTGCCTTCATTATGCCGGCAGCTGAAAGCACAAGCGAGAATCGTGCCGAGAAGGGAAATCAGGGCAGAGATGGGAGAACAACGTCACAATATTCCTGGCCCCCAAAACATGCCAACAAAGCGATGCTTTCTTTGAGGTATCCTTCATGAGCTATGCGTGAACAATGCCACATCATGCAAGAAAGAGGAGGAAACAAGAACAGACAGTTGAGAAGGGGTTCGATAAAAACGAGAGCAGGAACTTTAAAGTAGA